TCTGGAGGCAATTTCTGTTCCACTGATTAATTGTTCTAACTGTCGGGAAATTTCTCCTTAGTTCTAGTTGGGTCTCTTAGTTTCCATCTATTGCTTCTTGTCCTGCCTTCAGGTGCTTTGGAGAATACTTTGACTGCCTCTTCTTTGTAGCAACCCCTGAGATATTGGAACATGTCTCCCCTAGTCCCTCTTTTCATTAAACTAGACATACCTAGTTCCTGCAACCATTCTTCATATGTTTTAGCCTCCAGTCCCCTGATTGTCTTTGTTCCTTTTCTTAAGTATATTCAAGATATTAAGTATACTCAAGATAAGAACTAAACATGTTTTGATTTAATTTAAATGTTTTAAATATTTTTTTCTCTCTTAGCATATGGCAATTATAACTAAGCCGTAATTTGGGGGTAGGAGGGAAACTCTAGGCTCCACTGCCTAGATTTTGGCAAAGCCCAGGTATTCTTGAGGCTGCAGACTGTGACTTAAAAGCTTTAAACAGGAGAGGGAAGGTGGAAGGACCACTCTCTGAGATTAAATTTCAACGTATGATTTCAGGAGACTCAAGTTCATAAAAATAGAAGCAACGCCATGGATACCACTACCTTCTTAGCAGCGAAAATCCTTCCGGAGCACAACTTTTCAACCCCAACTCCAAACATGCAAACGATTAAGAATGGCACTTTCCTTCTGTCTGAGAATCACACCCACAGCTACCTGGTTGCTCACCTGGTTGGACTCAACAATACAGCACCGTATGACTCCAGTGGCGAAAGTCACCAAACTCAATGCTGGGAAACCTACGTTGGCCAAGTATGTCTCATCCTTTACCCAAGCGGTTTTCTTTTTCCATTGGTGGCACCAGAACGGAAGAAATGTTTGGCATAAAGATCAAAGGAGGCCCATCTTCCCATCCTTACTATTATTGCTTCTGCTGTTTCTAAAGTATCAAGGACCCTGATTTTTTTTTAAAATAAATACTCCATTTACAAATACGCTACCCATTTAAATATTAAATGCCTAGGTAGTAATACACGTTTTTTTAAAGTGTTTTTAAAGTGTTTTTTAAAGTGTTTTTAAAGTGTTACTGTTGATCATTGCATTGTGTTTGCGGTTTGTTTCAGGAGATGTTGAAGTTGTCAATTATCGACATGCTGTTCACAGTAGCTAGCATCCTCTTGATCGATTTCTTCCGTGGGCTTTTCGTTCGCTACTTAAGTGACTGCTGGTGTTGGGATCTGGAAAGCAAGTTTGTGAGTACAGGTTCAAACAAATAATAAAAAGGTACAAATGGGAACCGTGATGGCGCAGAGGTTAGAATGCAGTATTGCAGGCTAACTCTGCCCACTGCCAGGAGTTCAGTCCTGACCGGCTCAAGGTTGACTCCCACTTCTATCCTTCCGAGGAAGGTAAAATGAGGACCCAGATTGTTGGGGGCAATGTGCTGACTCTGTAAACCACTTAGAGAGGGCACTGTGAAGCAGTATGTGCCATTGCTATTGCCATATTCCATGCATGTAGGAAGGACCCTTGCTAAATCTTCCTTCTCCATTGCTTTCAGTGAGTGGCACATAACGCTTTCAACCAATAGGTGGCAGTGTTCCATTTAATTTCATCTGAATCAATAACCCAAGAGCAGATCTGGCATTCACTAAATGCCTAAAATCGGTATTTCTTAAAGTCTGGACAGAGGATCCCTGAAATTACCCAAGATCCTCTCAGGGGGCCTGCAGAAATAAAATTATTTGTCAGCCTATGTTGAAAAATAATATGTAAATCCTTTCAAACAATCATGAGAAGTGATTGTGGCTGCAAAAATCACCAGAATCTGCAATACAGTAAATAATGATAAATATAACCCATGCAAACAGAAACTCTTTTATCCTATATAATTTTTAAAAGGGTCAAAAGGAAGCAGAGGGGGAAAAAGTGCAAAAAACATTGCCCCGGATGTGTCTCTTTTAAAAAATTGCTACTAAATCTTTTTGTTGTTGTTACTTTGCAGCCAGAATATGGGGAATTCAAAATAGCAGAAAATGTCCTACATTTGGTCTACAATCAAGGAATGATCTGGTAACAAATTAACTTCATTCTGTTTATTTTAGAGATTGTTAATCTTTGAGGGACGTACAGTTATATTGTCTTTGAACCCCAGATCGATAACTGGATTTCAAAAAGGGAAATTGTTTACTAAGGGTTGTATAATGTTAGTTTGTCTGCATTAGTAGTTCCTTGATTGGGGCATTCTTTACTCAATGGTTGGTCTAGTGTGAACAGAATAGAATAGAATATAACAGAAGAATAGAATAGAATAGAATAGAATAACAGAGTTGGAGGGGCCTTGGAGGTCTTCCAGTCCAACCCCCTGCTCAGGCAGGAAACACTATAACATTTCAGACAAATGGTTATCCAACATCTTCTTAAAAACTTCCCGTGTTGGAGCATTCACAACTTCTTGAACCAAGTTGTTCCACTGGTTAATTGTTCTGTCAGGAAATTTCTCCTCAGTTCTAAGTTGCTTCTCTCCTTGATTAGTTTCCACCCATGGCTTCTTCTCCTGCCCTCAGGTGCTTTGGAGAATAGTTTGATTCCCTCTTCTTTGTGGCATCCTCTGAGATATTAGAAGGCTTCTCTCATATCTCCCCTAATCNTGGGCTTTCGAATGGTGTATGAATTATTTGTGTTGTTATTACAAGTGTTGCTGTGACCCCCTAGGAAAAGGTTATGCCCCGCCCTGTAGAAATACCTATACAAAAATGGATATCACTGTCTAAGTGCTTTTGTGGGTGAGTCAAATTTGTCATCTATTTGTCAAAGATGGTTCTGTAGCTCTCAGTGAAGAGCTACCGTATATTATGATATACAGTAGAGGCCAAAATTGTGGAAACCTTTTGGGGAAAAGTGTGTTTTTGAGGTTTGATGGCTAATAGCACCACTTTTGGGGGGCGGGGGAGTTTCAAAATAATCATATTCCACTGCTGGAATGGCCTGGGAGTAGCCCAGCCCTTAAATCCCCAATTGAAAATCTATGGAGCCAACTAAAGAAACTGGTTAGTCAGAAGCGACCCAGCAATAAAACCAAGTTAATAGAAACAATCATTCAATCTTGGTTTCACATTATAACAGCTGCAGAACTAAAAGACTTGGTTCACTTGATGGGAAGACTTTGTAAGGCTGTAATTCCTGCTAAAGGTTACCCAACTAAGTATTAACTAATCTGGTGGTAATGTTTGTATATCTCATTTCACTTTTCTTCTTTATAACTGCTATTCTAAAAGCAAATCCTTCGTAAAGGTTATTGCATTGCAGTCTTGATTAAATTATCTTTCCATTGGTATATAATTTTTTGGTACTTACTCCAAAAATGGTGGTGTTATTGGCTAGTTTTACAAAATAAACTTTTCCCAAAAGGTTTCCACAGTTTGGGCCACTACTGTTCACAATGGCTTAATAGTCGCATAAAAATCAAGCACTTCCCCCCCCCCCTGAAAATAACACATTCTTCTCTTACTTCCAGGTGAGTGTAGTTGTCTCTCTGATCACCATGCTTGCACCATCCGCCTTTGAACTGATAGCTGCATTAGAAATGTATCACCCTCGAACTACTCTGCGCTTCCAGCTTGCCAGGTGTGGGAAATCAACTGCCTCACAACAAGTTAGCAAAATGAAAATGGCCTTTATCATTTCCACCTGGTGTGCCAGATGGAATAGGAGTGGAAGTATAGTGGGGGGAAAAAACATTTGCTAATTGTTGTCTCTCTTGGCTTTTCCACCCCCCAGAGTTTTGGTCTTATATTTGGGAAATCTCTACAGCTTGATCATTGCTCTTCTGGATAAAGTGGATAGCATGAGCTTTGTTGTAAGTTGCAAGTCGTAACCATCTTGGGTAGAAGGATGTTCTCTCTGCTTTGCAGTAATCCCCTTGAAACAAATAGGGATTTTGTTGAACTAAAACACCTCCACGAACACTTGAGACGGAATTATGCATCTGAAACTCTCCGCTACGTCATTGTAAAAATGATAAAGTGTTAACTCTCTCATAGTCTGCCTTGTCCCTTTTATTTGTAATGCTTATTTTTAAAAAATATTAACTCATAAATGTGATCTCATTTGGGTTGGAATATAAGAATGATTTTATAACAGAAATTCGATCCCCGTGATTCATAAACTTGACATAACGGGATAAGTTGCATTGCGGCAGATTAAAAAGAAGTACTATGTAAGAATAACAGAATATTCAATTCGTTGACCTCCATGGCCCTCACCAGGGATGTACTGGTTATTGGGACCGCACTCCAAAAAGTGATATTGGAAATACAACATTAAAATGGAATGGTATGGAATGGAATAGAATAGAATAATAGAATAGAATAGAATAACAGAGTTGGAAAGGGCCTTGGAGGTCTTCTAGTCCAACCCCCTGCTCAGGCAGGAAACCCTACACCACTTCAGACAAATGGTTATCCAATCTCTTCTTTAAAACCTCCAGTGCTGGAGCATTCACAACTTCTGGAGGCAATTTCTGTTCCACTGATTAATTGTTCTAACTGTCGGGAAATTTCTCCTTAGTTCTAGTTGGGTCTCTTA